TGTGGCCTTTACACAGTTTCATTCTGTTTTGTATGTTCATCCCAGTGTGATCCTGATGTAATTCACTGTGAAATCAGGCAAGTTTTATTGCTCTTCTTGCATTGCACATAGGTTTCTAATGAAACTGGAAGTGGGACTGGCAGACAGATTTCTGAATTCTTCGTTACAGGCAAAGTCCCATGTATGATTTTTACAGCTGTGTAAAATTTCATGTAGTTGCCCTTTTTATTTTGTGCGTAACTGTGCTACATTTTCATTTTTAATTGATTCTTTAGTCCCTTAGATGGTAAAGATGTCACTGTATCATATTTGTAAGGTTATCAACCTACAGCATCAGTTACCCTTCAGTTCTATGCTGCTACCTTTTCTGACAGGGCTGCAGGTGTACCATTGGCACTGTATGTAAATATTTAATAATAAGTTATATTCCACCAGAAGTAAAAAGTTGTTTGATCTCTGTCCACTGCCAGGAAACAATTGACTGACTGATGTCCAAAGAATCGGAGTATGTCAGTTGAATTTGGCCTGCCACCAATTTCTTATATGATCTTTCTCAGAAAAGGGGAGGCTTAGAGACCAGATAGTTGGCAAGGTTATTTAAAATAAAGTGATCTCTTGCAAGCAGGGGCTGAATTATTGCATGTTTGAGGGCTGCTGGCAGCTTATCCTCTCTAACCTTGCCAATAATGAGCTTGGGTATTCCCTACTGGTTTTTGTCAGTTCACACATGGCCGAATGGCTCTCACATGCCACAAATAGAACCTCTTCCAATTGGGAGCATGGATGAAATTCATCCTGGGAGCATGGTGTGCTTATATTCTTCTATCATGTTACTGTTTTGAAAGCTCCTGAGTCTTTGACAGTCTTGTCCACGATGTAGATGTGAGAGCTTCTGCCACTGAGCAGCACTTAACCTTGAATTTCTCCTGCCTTTGTATTTTCTATATTTTGCACCCCCTTTTTGATTTTGGTAGCATTTCACATTCACTTTGCACACATGTATATGACTACACAAGGTAGTAGAGAATCAGGTGAAGTTGATTCAGAAACTGGTTGGAAGCATACTGGGTTGATTAGATGACCTACCAGTAGAAATGATTCCACTGAGCAGGATTTGCCTACATAATAGCAGAGGAGAAGGATCTCCTGATATCCGCTTTAGCCTTGGCACAAGAACCTAAAAACTCTTTATCTCAAGAGTCATCCTTCCATCAGTGCTTCAGTTTCTTTACCTCTCACTTCGTTGGTTGCAGGTGATTGGTAAACCCTGGCAACCTGAGAGGGTGATGCAAAGGGGAAGAGTTGCCTGGACCTTGTGGCATCTGTAATCATGGGCAACAAATTGCTGTAATGCCCCCACCAGACTGTCCATAGGCAGAACAGGTTTTTCTCCAGAGAGCGTTAGAAAACCAGCAAAATCTATCAATATATTTGGGTGGACCATCAAAACAATGCTATTTTATTATTTTATTTATGTGAGCTGATCACAGTAATAAAGACTAATGGAGTTTGAAGTTGTGTTATAACACACAACATTTTTCTTCAAAGGTTCTTGTGGTTTTCATCATCGTTCTGATGTTAAAATCGTGGTATTTTTGCAGAAACTTCCTTAAGGTTTTTTTAGTTTTTAAAAGTTTAGGCTTGTTGAAAATAAAAGTGCTTCTGACAGGGAAAACTAAATAAATTCACTTGCTTTCAAGTCAAATCAATGAGTTATTGTTTTGTTATTGATACACTGTGTAATTCACATTAGTATTAATGGGAGTTACTTACATGTCTTAATGATAGAATAACCCCATTATAGTATTGTGCAGGCAGTTACTGTATAATCATCCAACACTGTTCAGTGGCATTTGGAAAATGGTAATTGTCTCCATATTGGTATTGCTGTCGTCACCGGAGACTAACTGATTTGTGTTTGGTATTTCGTGGTGTAGACAAATAGATCCAGATGATCTTAACCCTCTGTATACACTGTAAATTCCACTCTCGCCAAGCTGCCAGAGTTCAAGGGTCAATGGTTTATTTTTAGGTTTGCTTTGAATAGTTGTTCCTTTTCAAGAACTCCTACTAGTACTGTTATAAAACCTAACGGTTCTTATTAGGCAACTGAGACTTCTCTAAAGGTGGAATAACCAGCTTTTAAAAGGACACAGCTGGGTTAATGTTCATAAATTTAAAGCAACAAAAAAAATTTTCCTTACCAAAGAGATGAATAACCTCTTAAATTATTAAAATTAATGGAATTTACAAAATCAAGCTTAATTTTTTACTTTATCGATTGCTTGAAGAATAAACACTAACCAACTCTTCTTCCCCCCCCCCCCTTTTGTTTGTTTGTATACAGTCTGTTTCTACTGTATTTCATTTTCAGGTTGTCATGTATATCCCAATGTTGTAATGTCTGGATTACAAAGAATGCAGGGGACTGTTTGTTTTGTTTTTTGTTTTTAATATTTCGTTAGACTTTAGAGTAAAACAGTGGAAACCTATCTAGATGAGGAGGTCTCTGAATTACTACATAGAATTTTTTCCCAGGTGTCTAGCTGGTGGGTCTTGCCCACATGCTCAGGGTCTAACTGATTGCCATATTTGGGGTTAGGAAGGAATTTTCTCTCAGGCCAGATTGTCAGAGACCCTGGGGGTTGGGTGGAGGTGTGGGTGGGGTTCGCCTTCCTATGCGGCATGCACTTGCTTGTTTGAACTAGAGTAAATGGTGGATTCTCTGTAATTTAGACTTAAAATCAAGATTTGAGGACTTCAGTAACTCGTCAGAGGATATGGATTCATTACAGAAGTGAGTGAGTGAGGTTTGGTGGCTTGTAGGAGGTGTGACTAGATCATGGTGGTCCCTTTTGGCCTTAAAGTCTGAGTCTATTACTCTTTTTAGTTTTTATAAATGCTTGTTCTTCCAAAACATAAATTTGGGATTAAGTCTGGCCTGACATCCCTATGAGAAGGTTCTATTAGATGTCTTAACAAAACTGTATAACCTTTTCATATGTACATCTATGTGTAAAACATGTTATAGATGTAATGTAATTGTTTTCAAAACAAGATTTAAATATTTGTGTAACTACAGGCTACCAAGTTATGCCTAACCAGCAGCAAGCCTACCAGGGGTTGGTTGGAGTTCAGCAGTCTCAGAATCAAAATCTAGTCAGTAGCCAACACAACAACATTGGAAATCAGATACAGGGTGTGATTGTTCCTTATACTTCAGTGCCATCTTATCAGGTAAGTTATCTTTTCAGAACTTCCTTGTCATTTGTTTGAATATTTAAAGCAATTTTAAAAAATCTGAACTTTGTAGGCTGAAAAAAGCTCCAGCAGGAGCTTGAGTATCTTAAAAAGGTAATGTGAAATGTCTGAAGCAGGAGCATTACAAATACACAACTTTCCATTAAATAGTTGCATGGAGGGCTTGGGTGTTACAGTCAGAGCATAGCATTAAATATGGTGCAGAGTACATGAAACCAGAGCTGTTAAGACTTCTGCATTTTTGTTGTTGGTTTTTTTCTTCTGTTATAGAAAAATCTCCTGATTAATTCTTAAAATTCCTAGGACTCGAACTTTGAAATCCTTATGAACCAAGTGTGACTCAGTAGGGAGCGGGGCGGATTGACCTGGGAATGTTGTTTAGTTTTACTGGTACTGTCTGCATGGGGGATGGGAGAGCAGGGGATGACTTTAGGTGAGGGACGGTACCTGAGCCAGGATGGGGGTGGAGTGAGTCGACACCTTTGCCCGGGAAACTGGACAAAGGGAGAGGGGGAGAGAGCTTGCTGGAGGGGTTTTTGGCTTCAGTTTTGGGCTGGCTGGGAAGAGGCAGGGAACCCCAAGTCTGGGGTCTAAGATCCTTGCCCCCCAGAGGGACCTGGCTGAGGGGTCCTGGTTGTACCTACAAGCCCTGCTTGGAACTGTGTTCCTGTCGTCTAATAAACGTTCTGTTTTGCTGGCTGGCTGAGAGTCATGGTGAATCGCAGGAATTGGGGGTGCAGGGCCCTGACACCAAGCTTTTGCATTGTTTTTTGGGGGAAAGAGAACGTTTTGACATTATTTGGCACTATTGCAGCTATTGTCATCGCTAGTCTTCCTTGCTATTATGTAGAACTCAAGAATTTAGACCATTTTCTGTCCTATCAAGTCAGTTAATCATGGAGGTTATCACTTAGTTTCTATAGCAGAGCTACTTCCCTTGGTGGAATAATTGATATATGGTAAATGGGGAGCAGAGACTTTTCTAAGTAGAATAATTATATGATATGCCTCGTATAAATTTTTTCAGTTGCCACCCCTCTATTTTGCCCAATCACATTATTGCCATTCTCTGATCCTCCTAAGTTTCATCTTAAATACTTGTTTCACTTTAAGAAGCACTGGTATAACCCTTATGTTAAGGTAACATTCTGGAATGAAGCAGAGGCACAAACATTTAATATTCAAATGTGTAAATTTTCACTTCTAAAGCTCTTTTGATTCAAAGATCTTTTAACACTTTACAAAGTGTCACTAAGTATCATTTCTGTTATACTGAAGGAGAAATTCAGGTTACTTGCCTGAGTTCACACAGCATGACACTGGTAGAGCTGGGAATAGAGCAAAGGCCTTCCAACTCCCAGTATGTTGTATTTTAAAAAAGCCTATTTCACTAAAGCCTTTTTTCAACAGTTGCCCTGAGTAGTTGGGTTGGGTCTGTTTAAAAAAACAAAAATAAAAAAACCCTCATACTTCAATTCCTCAAAACATTTTAGTGTAGAGCTTCCAGCATCCTGTCTTGATATTTGTAGTCTGCTATTGTTTCAATTAGTTAAATGTATAACTGTTTACTCATCCCCTTTGTTAAATCCTATACAAATACTCAACGTAGGCTATGTCTTTAAAGTTTCTTGGGATTTGGATCTTAATCAGCTTTTCCATAAAGATGGCATACATTGAGCATTCTTCAAGTGATCATCCACATGCATTCCACTCATGGTACACATGCACCTCAGGCATGCAACATAAGATTCTTTTGGCCAGCAGTGTCCATTGGGCCCCTCCACCTCCACACCCACCCAAGGGCATAAAGGGCAACTATTGCTCAGTTGTTGCTTACCACATGTGGCAGTGAGACAGAACCCCTACAATGTCCACCTGCTTCTCTGTGGATTGTGCTAGTTTAGTGTTAGCGTTAGTTAGACTTGTTGCCTTTTGATAGCACATGCAAAAATCTCCCTGCCCTCTTCCTTATAGGAGTTCTAGCAAAGTGACAGAAGTGAAACCCCCGGGGCTTGAAACCAGCACTTTTGTGAAGCTTTAATGCCACTTAATGATGGGCACTCGAGGCGCCTGTTTTGTTTAGGGGGGCATGTCCCCCCCTCCTCTAAGCAGGCTCAAAAAGCTAGAGAAGCCCACTTAAAATTGTTCCTTCTATAGCATTATATGCGAACCTCCTTGGACTTGGAAAGGAAGGATGCAGCTAGACCTCAGTACTCTGGTCTATCTGCTTACATGAGGCACATGACTCATAATTCTGACTTGTCTCAGGCTCAACATTCAAGGAACAGCCAACAGCTGCCTGAGAAGGATCCCTCTGGTGCCCTGGAACTAACTGTTAGAGCTGGAAGTACCCATTAACCATGCAGACTGCTCCTCTCTCGGTACCAGTTGTTCAGGACCTGGCCCCTCAGGACTCAGCACTTCTCTACGGGCAACCTTGGAACCATGTTCCTCGGTCCTCAGCACATCAGTAGCTAGTGTGTTGGTACCTAAGGCATATACTGTGCCAAGTGATTTATCTGTGAGTCTGGTGCCGGCTCTTTTGGTCTGAGAAATTGAGGATGGTGATAGCTAAGTCATTAGATTTTGAGATGTCGACGTGACCATTAAAGGGGGTATTTCTGGTACCAGCTGCACCCACTACTCAGTTAAGGAGCCAGGGCACTCCTAAGAGGATGCCCTTTCCTTGACAGAGGTGTACATCATCATCATCATCATCCCTGTCAGGGAATAGTAGGGACTCTTCACCTGCATACCCTTCTTCCCCTGTTTGGGTAGCACAGTGGGAGAGACTCTGGGGAGCAATCTGTAAGGGGCAGCAGGGCTTATAGAGAACATCCCTCCTGGTGTCCCCTAACTCCCCCACCCATGCTGTATCAGCCTATTGGATGCCCTGCAGGGGTGCATCTATATTCTCTTTAGACTGTATTATTGGCCCCCGCCAGAGTTTGATTATTCTTCCCTGAAGGGACAATATAGACCAAACAGTTAGGCCAGCTATTGCAGCCTCAGATTCTGGAAAGGTTGGAGGAGGAGAGTGATTAGTAGTATTTATAAGGGGAAGAACAACTCAAACCCCTTGCAATCTCCTCATCCTCTCACGACAAGGCAGTAAATCACCCAATGTCCTCTCCAGTTGATGACTTCAAGGCATTCCAGGACCTCGTCAGGCACATGGCAGAGACTCTGTGTATACCTGTGGAAGTGGTGCAGGAGAAACCTCTCAAACTCCTGGACATCTTATGTCCTCCTATGCCTGGCAGTTTTGCCATGCCTGTACTGTTGGAACCTGTGTAAGACCTGTGACATGCCAGTATCCATTCCATCCACATCCAAGTGAGCTGACAGGAGGTCCCACCCATTACCAAGGTCACTTGTGGTAGCTGCCATCTAAGGGTACGTCTATACTTTCCTCCGGGTCTGGCGGTAAGCAATCGATCTTCTGGATTCGATTTATCGCGTCTTGTCTAGACGCGATAAATCGATCCCGGATCGATCCTGGAAGTGCTCGCCATCCACACCGGTACTCCTGCTCCATGAGATGAATACGCGGAGTCGACGGGGGAGCCTGCGTGCCGCGTCTGGACCCGTGGTAAGTTCGAACTAAGGTACTTCGACTTCAGCTACGTTATTCACGTAGCTGAAGTTGCGTATCTTAGTTCGAAGTGGGGGGTTAGTGTGGACCAGGCCTAAGAGAGGCCGAAGCAGCAGGGGCCTCCCAAATGCTAAACCTAGGGAAAAAGACCCTAGTAGTCTGGATCTGTTCAGATACACACTCTGTCTGCCAGCTGGCAGACGTACATAACTAAGTCCCAAGTGCTTCTGTCCAATTATAATTATTTGAATTAGGACAAGTATCTGAATTTGTGGGCAGGCTATCTCAAGAACACCAAGAGGAACTAAAGATGATCATGCCCAAAGGACAGCTGATATTTTACACTTCCTTGCAGGCTGCACTGGGTGCATCTGACATAGCGATGTGTACTGTGGACCTCTCTGGAAATCTATGAAGATTGGAGCCCAGGAGATCTTATGAGACACCTCTGTAGCCAAACAACAATTGAGGACCTCCCTTTGAAGGCAACAAACTTTTAAATTTAAAGACGGACGAGGTTTTCCATTCCTTAAATGATCTAGGGTGCCTCTGCTCCCTGAGCGGTTATGTTCCAGATGGAAGCAAGTATTACCAGATGTTTTCTTCAAGCAGCATTCCTCTGCCAGCTCAAAGGATCTCAACTGCCAAGAAAGAAGCAGACGTTTCAGCAACAACTGCTCTGCCTTTTCCTCTACTGTTGCCTGTTTGAAGAATGTTCCTGTTTTTGAACTCTGCAGGACAGCTACATGGACTTCAGTCCACACATACACAAGACACTACTCTTTTGTAAAGGTTTCCACATTGGATGCCTACTTTGATATGGCTATCCTGCGGTCATTGTTTAAGTAAAACTTCTACTATCCATCTCCAAGCAAACAGACAACTGCTTGTTAATCACCAACAGTGAAATCCACATGAACAATTGCTCAAAGAAGAAACAGTTATTTACCTTTACAGTAACTGTGGTTCTTTGAGATGTGTTGTCCAAATGGATTCCACATTCTGTCTTCCTTCCTTGCTATTACAGTATCTTAGCCCTGTGGGACTCTGTATGGGCGAAGGCACGAAGGGACAGTCGGGCCCATGCTGCCCTATGTGCCCTTATGTGGCACGGTACATCTAGGATGACAGGTATGGCCACAATGGACACTGCTGGCCAAAAGAATCCAATCTCTCATGCATGTGGACAGTATGTCTCCAATAACTACCATTACAATAAGGTAAATAACTGTTCTTTCACTGCCCCAGGGATTCACCAACACATGGGTCTTTATCATCCTGACATTTTAGAGGAGTTTGGCCCATCTCTCCATGAGGATTGTGCATCTCCTAGAATTTTTTCATTTGTTTTCGTATCTGTATCTTACACTCACGCATTCACCTGCACCTTTACCACTGCAACTCTGCAGTACAAACTCTTAAGGCTACCAGTTTATTTTCTGTCAAATAACAGTCTTGGGCTTTCTGCCTTATCCTCCAGGCAAAATGACATCATGTTTGCCTCTTACGTCTGATGGGCACATTGATGAGTGGAGTTGGATTTCTCCCCTTGTCTTGGTCCAGCTTCAGAGCCCTCCCCATTTAAAAAAAAAAAAAAAAAAAAGTAAATACACCAGCTCACAACAAAAAATGAAATTGGAGTATAGGAAACAACAAAAACCAGTCTGCCTGATAACTTGCTTGAGTCACTGCTACTCACAAGCATGTGACACTGCCTTCCTTCACATAAATAAGGTGATATTTTAACTAGGGCTGTCAGCAATTAAAAAAATGATTTGCGATTAATTGCACTGTTAATAATATACCATTTATTTAAATATTTTGGATGTTTTCTACATTTTCAAATATATTGATTTCAATTACAACACAGAATACAAAGTGTACAGTGCTCCTTTTATTTATTACAAATATTTGCACTGTAAACAAACAAAAGAAATAGTATTTTTCAATTCACCTAATGCAAGTACTGTAGTGCAATCTCTTTATCATGAAAATTGAACTTCCAGATGTAGAATTATGTACAAAAAAACTGCACTCAAAAACAAAACAATGTAAAACTTCAGAGCCTACAAGTCCACTCAGTCCTATTTCTTGTTCAGCCAATCACTCAGACAAACAAGTTTGTTTATATTTGCAGAAGATAATGCTTCCTGCTTCTTGTTTACAATGTCACCTGAAAGTGAGAGCAGGAGTTTTCATGGCACTGTTGTAGTTGGCATTGCAAGATATTTACATGCCAGATGTGCTAAAGATTCGTATGTCCCTTTATGCTTCAACCACCATTCCAGGGGACATGTGTCCATGCTGATGACGGGTTCTGCTCCATAACAATCTAGAGCAGCGCAGACCAACGCATGTTCATTTTCATTATCTGAGTGATATGCCACCAGCAGATAATTGATTTTCTTTTTTGGTGGTTCGAGTTCTGTAGTTTCCGCATCAGAGTGTTGATCTTTTAAGACTCCTGCCACACCTCATCCTTTTCAGATTTTGAAAGGCACTTCAGATTCTTAAACCTTGGGTCGAGTGCTGTAGCTATCTTTAGAAATCTCACATTGGTACCTTGTTTGCATTTTGTGAAATCTGTAGTGAAAGTGTTCTTAAAATGAACAATATGTGCTGGATCATCATTCGAGACTGCTATAACATGAAATATATGTCAGAATGCAGGTAAAACAGAGCAGGAGACACACAATTCTTCTCCAAGGAGTTCAGTCACAAATTTAATTAACGCATTATTTTTTTAACAAATGTCATCAGCATGGAAACATGTCCTCTGGAATGGTGGCCAAAACATGAAGGGCATATGAATACTTAGCATATGTGACATGTGAATACCTTTCAATGCCAGCTACAAAAGTGCCATGCAAATGCTTGTTCTCACTTTCTGGTGACATTGTAAATAAGAAGAGGGCAGAATGATCTCCTGTAAATGTAAACAAACTTGTTTGTCTTAGCAGCTGGCTGAACCAGAAGTAAGACTGAGTGGACTTGTAGGCTCTGAAGTTTTACATTGTTTTGTTTTTGAGTGCAGTTATGAAACAAAAAAAAATCTACATTTGTAAGGTGCACTTCAATAACAGAGATTGCACTACAGTACTTGTATGAGGTGAATTGAAATACAATTTTTTATCATTTTTACAGTGCAAATATTTGTATTAAAAAAATATACACTTTGATTTCAATTACAACATAGAATGCAATATATGTAAGAAAATGTAGAAAAACATCCAAAATATTTAATAAATTTCAATTGGTATTCTATTGTTTAACGCTGCGATTAATCACGATTACATTTTTTGAGTTAATCGCGAGAGTTAATGGCGATTGACAGCCCTAATTTTAACTGCTTTATACTATAAATGTAGCTTGATAACTTTACGTATTCAATTAGTTGCATATTATTTTACTTGGATATTTGTCGCATAAATATTAAATCTGTTACGTTTCTGATTTAAATACATCAGACTGCACAGGTTCATCAAAAATTGAATTGTTAGAATATGTAGTTAGATAATCAGCTGGGGAATTTTCTAGGATGGGTAATATCTCTGATAGGGTAATTATGGAATTAACGTGTGTTTTAGTGTTTAACATTAGCTGTATTTTTAACAAACTCTTCTGTCATGTGAGTGGTCTGGAGGCAGAGAAGGAACTTTTTTGCAGAAAATAAGTCTTCATATGTTCTCAATCTTTAGGTTTCAGTGCCTCAAGGTTCCCAAGGAATGCCCCAGCAGACATATCAGCAGCCTGTTATAATTCCCAGTCAGTCAAATCAAGGACTGCCCACAACAGGAATACCGGTTTATTACAGTGTCATTCCATCAGGTCAACAGAATAATTTAAGGTGAGTAATTCAGTAACTTGATCTTCAATAACCTGCTTATTACTTTCCAGTCCCCTAACAGAGTTTGCTTTAGGATCTTAGTATTTTCAATATTAGTTCTTAGTGTGGCTTTGTGGCCACTTCTTACAGGTAGGTAACAAAATTATATATTTTTATGTCACCTTTATTTCCTATTATTCATGGAAGGTAGATATAACACTGTTATCTTCAGTAATTGGGACCCACTTACTTGTGATTGAAAAATCAAAACAAAAAGATTCTCAGGTTACTTCTTGAAGTAACTTATTGTAACAGAATTTCTAGTTTGAGTATTTGCTGAATCATTCAGGGTAGTGGTTTTCAATCATGGGTATGCATACCGCTGGGGGTATGCAGAGGTCTTCCATGGGGTACATCAACTCAACTAGATATTTGCCTTGTTTTACAATAGGCTACATAAAAAGCTCAAGTGAAGTCAGTATAAACTAAAATTTCATACAGACAATTACTTGTTTATACTGCTCTATATACTATACGCTGAAATGTAAGTATAATATTTATATTCCAATTAATTTATTTTATAATTATATGGTAAAAATGAGAAAGTAAACAAATTTTTCAGTAATAGTGTGCTGTGACACTTCCATATTTTTATGTCTGACTTTGTAAGCAAGTAGATTTTAAGTGAGGTGAAAGTTGGGGGTACACAAGACAAATCAGACTGCTGAAAAGGGTACTGTAGTCTGGAAAGGTTGAGAGCCACTTGTTCAGGGAACACTGTTTTTACGCCACGCCCCAGGAAATGCATTAATTCCTTTTTGCCATGACATTTAAAACTTTGGAGAGACTTCTTTAGTCTCTAGGTTTGTCACAGAAGTGACTTTGGGAAGGGACAGTAATACAGATTTGAGTCCTCAAAGTCAATGGCCCTCTCATGATTCCTCTGAGTCCTGCTCTCTGGCCCTGAGAAGTCAGTGAGTAAGCTCCTCCGTTGAACTCCTGCCTTCAGCCTGCTCTGCTGTCTGGCTTTGAGCCAGCATGCAACTCCCTGTTCTGCCTCCCTGGCCTTCAGCTCGATCTTGCATTCCTTGCACAGCCAATGCTCCTTTTGAATCCAAAATAGAAGCATGGGTATGCAAGGGATACAAGAAAAGCCTCTTACATTTGTAAGCAACTTTAAGGCTCAATTCTGTGACTCTTTACTCTGTGCTACCAACTCATATAACTTTGTTGCAAGTCTCACAATATTTTTAAAGGGATCTCATGAATTTCTGACTTCAGCCTTCCATCTTTCAAATTTTAGCCCTTCTCTGATTCCCCCATTACTGTCAATGGGACTAAAGCTGCAGTGTACCCTCAGCGAAGATGGTGGCCCTTTTTCACCGTGT